AGATTCTAGCATAGTGATGTTTGGACATGGGACTCAGAGAGCAGCGAACAATGGTCAGGGAAATTGAGGGAACGTTTACAGAGCGGTTACATTTGAGCTGGGCGATGATGGAGCAATTAGAATTTTCTGGGTAGAAAACAAGCCTGGAGGAGAGCATGCGAAGCAGAGGGACGGCAGGTACAAAGGCACAGGTCACAAAGGAGCAGGCATCTCCAGGGAAGTGAGGAAATCTGAATTCGACAGGGACATTCACCCTCGGGGAGAGAGGCCGAAATGATGCTAGAGAGTGTCTGGAACAAGACTGCGAAAGATTTTTGTGACCAGAGAAAGAATTTGTTTTTTATAGACAACGAGGCGCCAAGAAGAATTTTCAGGCAGGGGACAACGTGCTACTTTAAGAGATGGATCTTGGGGCAGCGTGAGAATGGGATTCAATGCGCTAAGGAGTGGGTATGGGGGCGACCGAGGACCCACACCCACCCAAGGCGGTGGAGAATAGTGATGCTGTGGACAGTGTCAGGTTAGCCCCCATCTCCTTCAGGAGGGGCTGGTCCAGGGCCGCCACTAGCTTGCGGTGTCTTCCCGATGGTGAGCCCCAAGCCAGGGCACACGTCTGACCTGGCAAGTGGAGCACAGGCTCGGTCTTCACCTCCACGCACCTGTTCCCTTGGTTAGACAGCCGGTGGCCTGCAGACCTGGACTCCTCTGGCACTACCTGAGCTGAAGTGTCCCCTAAGCACCTGTGCGGGGAGACAGGGTGCAGGGGCCGAGGGTAGGGTGCGCGCGTGGCACCGCTGCCCCTCTAGCAAAGGAAAACCGTGGACTGTCATGGGTAAAGACGGGCCCTTTGATAAACCCAGAAACATGGCTTCATGACCCTGGGCAAGTTATTTAGTCTCTCTAAGCCTCAGTTTCCTCATCTGTTAAATGGAGATGCTGAAAGAACACACCTCATCGGGTGGCTGTGAGAATTAAACGAGATAATGCCCGCAAAACCCTTACCTCAGTGAGCAGACAGAACACGCTCGACACAAGCCAGCTGTTGATATTTCTCCTACTGCCAATAACAGAGGTAGCCCTGCTAAGCCTGGAAGCGGGTGTTGGCTGTACACGCCGTCCCCTCCTCCCTAACCCCCGCCACCCCAGACCTCAGTGGGAGGAAGACTGGGACCCGGAGGCAGACGGCACTGGTGGGAACGGGATAAATCACAGCACCGCGGGGGTCAGCTCATTCCATTCACCTCATCTGGTGGATGCCTGGTTATGGGGCGGGGCCACTGACGGGCACCCCAAGAACAAGGTTGGTGTGGGTTCCCTGCCCGTGTCCTCCACCTCCATCCAGTCTCATTTCTTTCCAGACCCACTTCCCCTGTCCTTGGCCTGCTCTTCCTGCTCCGATCCTGCCCACCACCCACACTCTCCCTAAAAGGAAAAAGTTTTTTGCCCAGGACTTTTGCCCCTTTTCTCTGGATGTCTCCGGACGGTGGCAGATGTGGGGCAGCCATCTGGGCACAGAAATATTCAGCATTATCAGCTGGGCCAGGTGGGGCTGGGATTTTGGGGGGAACAGCGATGCCCTGGCCAGTTGTTGAGCAGCTGGAGGCCAACAGCAGAAGGCAAAAGGAGCAGGAGAAACTAGGGGCCAGGGTCTGCGCAGGGAGAGAGCCGGCTCGGGGCTGAAGGGCGAGGCCACTGCTGTCGGGGTGGGGAGTGACTGGCAAGGGCTCTTGGTGGCATGAGCACAGGACAGGTTAATAAGTGGCAGCAATTGTGGAGGCTGCTGGTGAGGCAGATCCAGGTCTCCACTCAGAGTTACCTGCCCGGAGAGACCTTCCCTAACCGCTGTGTCTAAGGCGACACCCTCACCAGCACCCCAGCAACAGCCTCGGTTGCCTTCCCCTGCTTTATTGTTCCGCACGGTGTCGAGCAATCCCTGAAACGAAATGTTGTTTACTTGTTGACAGTGGACAGCTCTCAGTTATTCCTTGGTCTCTAGCACTAGAACAATGCCTGGCACACAGTAGGTCCTCAGTAAATATTTGTTGAATGTAGACCGAACGATCATCGTCATTATTCAGAGTAGCATCGTTCCCCCTTCATCTATGGCTGAACAGCCACGGGGTCTGTGCTGTGTGCCAGGGACGAGCTGGTCACCCTCTGGCCTAGCAGAGTGCCACAGTGCTGCCTTTCTCTTTAGAGGGTGCTCGGCAGCTTTGGATTTGAAGTGACACTACTAAGACCCTCTCCTGGGACCACGTAGGCTGTGTAGCTGAGAAGGGATTTTGACATTTGTCCATGTCTGCTCTACAACTGCGGGCGAGGGCCTTAGTCTCGGGAGGTGAGTTAACAGGTTCCTCCTGGATGTCAGTGGCAGGACTGTGTTGGTCTCTTGGAAGTTGGGCTCATAAACCAGGAAAGGGAGGCCCTTGGAATGTCTCCAGGGGTTAGAAGCTGACTTTATTTCCTTGGCATAGGAGCAGGACCAGTTTTTCTGTCCGATAATAGAAAAGTGTTGTGAGTACTGGGAGTAGCCATCTCTCCCCACCCCTAGAGCTGGGAAGACCTGCAAATGCTCAGTCCCATGATAGCACGTGTCTGCGGGCCGGCATGACCAGTCACGGCTGCAGTGACCAGGACGCGGTCCAGACACGAGGCCAAAGAAAGCACAATTCTTTCTCATGTCCTATGAAATGCTTTCCTACTGGGCACCTCCATGTGAAGAGAACGAAGTCTCGCTTATCACGTGTCTGAACCTGACTACGAGGTACCTGGGTGAAAAGTGAAAAACACTCGTAATCTCAGATATTTTATAGACATAAAACCAAGCATCCACATAATTACACTTTTTACTCTGCAACCAGAGATTTGGTGTAATATAGACCCATAGTTCATAATATTCTGTGTGTATGTGTAGTTTTTAACTTATATCTTCTGCTACTTCACACTTTTATTGGAACAATAGGCTTTTGTAGAGGATATTCGTCATACCTCAAGGTTGACCCAGGCTAAATTTTTTTTCTTGTTTGCCTTTTCTTGTTTGCAGGTGTCATGTCCTGAATCTATGTCCCCATTAGATGTTTGAGGGCTGCAGTCACAATATCTACCTTGTTCTTAAGAAGCAGCCTGAGGGCTGAGAGTCCTCATCATGTCAGGGACCTCTTCTCCCACAGCTACGTGACTTAGGAAAGGGACTTCAGCTCCCCAACTCTAATTTGAAGTTTTCATTTAGGGCAAAAAAAATCTATGATTCACATCATATTTTTCCATAAACACTATAATTTTTCCTCATCGAGAGAAACATGATCTATATCACCATCCTATGAGGAGCATCTATTTATAGACTGATCAGTGGCCAAGTTTAGGAAGGGTATTAAATATCTCCACATAAATATGTTAAGGGTTTTTTGTTGTTGTTGTTGTTGTTGTTTACGAGTTCCTTTCTGAGGAATTGAGTCCATTAAGGTACTTCATGCTCAGCCAGTACGATCATTACTTTTAGACAGTATACTTAAAATAAAGGAGAGGACTTCATTTGATACCTTTATTTATATGCAAAACAGCGCACCATTCATGAGATTTGAAAAACTCGTCAGATAGAAACCAGGTTATATCTATTTTCACTACAAAATATTGCATTATATAAAGCAACAGAGACACAAAAAAACCCTGAAAAAGACTAAAATCTTTGGATAGCAGATGTGGTTTTTTTTCCCCCTTGTCTCTAAAATACACTCCTTGTTTTAAGAGTTTCACAGCTGAGAACATGAAACATTTTCAGGTTATAGACTTTTCTTTTTGGTTGTCACAGAGGAAAGTAGTTCTGAAATTTTTTTTTTTTTTTTTAGGAAAATAACTTAATTTCCTAAAAATCATCCCAGGCACGAAGATCACACATACACACATACATACACACACACACACACACACAGAAGCTACTCTCCTTATAAACAGTTTGTAAAGTACTTTTCAGACATAACTACAGATAAGAACAACAGTTACTTTTTTAAAAAACTATAATAGTGAAGTGCTAGTGTTGCTGATCTCACAACAAAAGAACCTTTCAAGGACAAACATCTTAATATATAAAATATGTTTAGAAACAGGGAGACGTGGGAAATTTGTCATACAAGTGCAATATAATTAGAGCAAAAAGAAAGACCACAGTATAACCTCAACAAACACGTAAAAAGTTAGACGTAATAATTATTCCACAGGAAAAAGTGTAAACACTTGACTATAAATAAATTGGCACAGAGTATACAAAGTAAAATTATCACCACTCTGAAAAATAAATGTCTTGGAAAAAATACTCTACTCCTTCTAACATAAATAAAAATAGGTTGTCTTTTTCTAACTGCACCTATGGGTCCACATGTTTAAGGTCACAAATAGATGTTTTTGGATATATAAAGGGGCACTTCGCCTGCAAAAGCAATCAGATATTAAGTTTTCCATTTAAATACGGATTTTCCTGTCTACGTTAGTGTCATACCTGGTGGTTCAAATCTCACCAGGTTCAAATCTCCCACAAAGTGTCTGTTCTCAACGCATCGTTTTAAACTTATCAAAGATGCAGGGATGGTTATGTTTGGATTCTAATCTAATCTCTTTTCACAACGGTACAGAAAGTTTCCTGTTGCACCTTAATGTGCCTAAAATCTCTACACCAGAGAGGAGATTCCCTCCACACCCCTTCCCCTTCGACCGTCTGGTGACTTGTCGATTAGAAAAAAAATCCAGATCGTCTAAAGTTAAGAGCCTATACTCCGAGCTTCTGCCTCCATGCTCTCAAAACAAGGAGAGCTGTGGGAGATAAAATAGGAGAGCTCCAAGTCTCCGGTGAGCTAAAGCAAACGACCCTTAAAGGGATCCTAACACCTGTCGGGGAGGCCTGGAGGCGGCTCGCCTCGGGGGCCTCCAGGAGGTCCGCCCGGCCTGGAAAATACCACCCCCCGCGAGCCGCAGGGCTGGTCAGACATCCCCACCTTCCAGAAATGGAAACCTTTCCTCGTCGTCCCGCTGATCCGAGAGAGCGCAACACGTTGAGAGCTTCTTCCCCGGTCCAAGGCTCCCACTGGGCCGCCGTCTCCTCCGCCAGCCCCGAGGCCGCCTCCTGAGTCGGTCGCGGTCCCACCCGACATCCGGACCCGCGGCCTCCCGCAACGCGCCTGGCCTTACACGTCCAGGACGTGGTTGAGATAGGAGATGTAGCAGATGGCCAGGCGCAGGATCTCGATCTTGGAGAGCTTCTTGTCCGGGGGCAGCGTGGGCAGCAGTTTGCGGAGCTCGGCGAAGGCCAGGTTGAAGGCCTCCACGCGGATGCGCTCGCGGGTGGCATGGGCCGAGCGGTACTTGGCCGTGGCGCGGCGGCGGCGGCGCTTCTCCTCGCGGCTCAGCTGCTGCGGATGCGGGTAGAGCGCGGCCCGGCTGCCGCCCTTGCCGTCGCCCTCCGCCTCTTCCACCGGCTCCAGGTCCGACACGCTGCCCAGCACCTTGGCGTCCGCGCCGCCCAGCGACTCCGGGTCCGAGTGCGCCGAGCTGGGGTGGTCCGAGTCGGCGGCTTGGTCCGGACTCAGCATCATTTTGGAGGCTGAGGGGGGGAGTCAGAAAATCAATCAATTAAAGGAATCAGGGTCTTCGGATCGGAGCCGGAGTGGGCGAGGGCCTGCCCCGCCGGGCCTCCACGCCACCCAGTCGCCTCCTCGCACCAGGCCGGCGCGCTGG